ATATACTAATATACTAATTACATGGGATATAATAATATACTACACTAATAATGGATTTTTTCATACTTTTCGGTTATCCGACTTTTCAATTATCCTACCAACCCCAGTCCCCAATTGAGTCGGATAATCGATGCTCTACTGTATATGAATTTTATTATTTATACCACGGAATGACACCGCTGCTGCTAGAATGCCCACTGGGTGCGTCCTGGGCTATAGTAAAATATATTTCATTATAGAATACAATATAAAAATAATACACCTATTACTCTTTTACATGGTCTGAGTTTATGCAATTTGAAATAATGCAGTTGACAAAAGAAAACTAATCATCTTTTTACACAATTTTTTTTATGTGGAAAATAAACAGTTTATTTGAAGATTTTTAAATTTAATTTTTATTAAAATTGTGTTATTGCTAAAAGGTTACTATTTTTGTTGAAATTAAGAGTTTATTTGTCTTTTTTAAGCAGAGTAGAGTATGTACATCAGAGAATGCTGTATGTTGATTTTGTTTCTTATTCTGCCTTGTGTTTATTATATTTATGTACAACTAATGGTAATAATGTGACAATGCATGAAGCACCTGTATGCTTCCATACCACTTGACTGAAGGGTTGACATTGCTTCAACAAAGATTACATCAGGATAGAAGACCTCACAGCAACTAGGGCTGTTTTTGTTTAATGTTTGTGTTGTTGTTAGGTCATTCAAGCAGTCGCATGCACAGGTGATGGGATTTGGGATTGAGGAGATCTGAGATGGCAAGTTTCATGGAGAAGGTCAGAGAGACAGCAAGTTGGAAGCAAATCACTCGGATACCAGTTTAACAACTAATAACTGTTTATTTGAAAAGAAAAAGGATTACATGATATATACACTGTACTGTGTAAAAATAACTGACTTATACTCTGTAGGTGATCACAAGAGAGAGAGTTTACATGATATTGCACGTAGATGTAAATACACAAAGTTCAGTTGGTCCACTAGTAGACGTACCTTTCCTGGGAGTAGAGGTGAAATCTAGAATTATCTTGGATTTAGGCAATGAAGTTAGTCCTATTAGGATGCAACTAAGTATTTCGGTGATGATGTTAATCCAAATAAGAGGCACTTAAGAAGTCCATTTGGCAACGAAGTTAATCCAACTAGGAGTCACAACATGAATGTGATGGGATAGGAGCTTGTGATGACTTCCATTAGAGGACTGGGTGATGACTGTAACCATCGGAGAAACAGGTGGTGACTGCCTCAATGTGCTGTTAATTGCTTATCTTGAAACCATGTCTTTTATTTGTTTTTTCGTCACAATTAGGTGCATAGACAGACACTGGGCAGTTTTGACATCAGTCTTTATTCAGCAGTATCTCGTCATTTTTTCACAGGATATATGTACTGTACATTTTTACGTGATTTTTTTTATGTGGCATTCTTTGGAATGTATCCACCGTGCAAAGAGAAGGATAGGTGTATATATCAATTACAGAAAATATTAGTTATACTTACCAATTTCGAAGGTATTATAATCATGGTATTAAATCTTTATTTTATTATACAGGTTGACGTTCAAAAATCCAGCCATCGATAATCCAGTTCCTTCAGATTTCCGGCATGGATTTCAGAGCACATTTTCAAATTTACCACATTGGCGCATCAGTTTTCTGGAGGCGTCTAAATAAAAATTCTGTAGAACTGTTTTATTTAGTTGATGAACATTAAAATTTTATTTTCTTTTTATTTAGTGTTTGTTTATTATTTTTTTTAAAGGATTATACAGATGGTCATCTTCTGTTAAATATATATAGCATATATAACTATGAAAAATCCCACACTCCTCAGGTTTGGTGGATGCTGGATTTTTGAATGTCAACCTGTAATTGAAAATGACTTTAGTAATTTTCTACTACATAATGTCAAGCACAACTAGTTTAACTAAATATTTTTAATTTTTACCATTTGATGATAAACAATATATCTGTATATATAAAATTACATGTCCTGACTGACTGATTCATCATTGCCCAGAGCGAATCGCTGAACCTAAAGAGGCGAAATTTGGTACACAGGGTACATCATAAAAATGCACATTAAGAAGGGATTTTTGGAAATTCCTTCGCAAGGGAAGAGGGAAAGGATTAAGGCTTAAAAAGTCTTAGCCTCCAAAGGCAGTACCACAAACATGGTTTACAAAGAGGTACTGGGGTAACTGAAACTCTATTTTTCAGTAAATATTTATACTTTAGGAATTTTCAGACAACATTATTTATGTTTCAAAAAAGAAATTGAACTCAGATTTATCGTATCTCGGAATTCCATAATATTTGAAACTTGAATTTAGGTGCATTAGCAGTCCATAGTTTGAAATAAACAAAAATCAGTAATTTTACCAAATTAGTAACAACTAATGATTGAGAATCTTAGTGAAGTACTGAGGGAGTGTATTTCTATCAAATTGCAAAATCTGCATGCGCAAAGCTGCAGGTAGATAACAGCTATTATATTCATATGAGTGTCTTTACCTCATCCCAGATCCATGCAATGTCAATCTTTAGCAAAAGTGTGTTAAAATATAAATAAAAATTATAGTTTGCATAGGCCACAGCTTGGATCTGACCAATTAGTGTTGATAGCAGGGCTGCGGAGTTGGAGTCGTGGAGTTTTGGTGTTTTAGCTGGAGTTGGAGTTGTCAAAAAATCTGCCGACTCCGACTCTTTTTTACTTACCAACTTGCTATCAACACTAGTCAGAGTTGGATGGTAAGGAAAAGTCGGAGTTGGAGTCGGTAGATTTTTACGCGACTCCACAGCCCTGGTTGATAGGGTAAAAACTAATATTAATACCATATTTTTTTCTACTTAATTAGTTTAAATTGTAAGCGTAACTAACAATGCCTATTGTCGAATGTTGAAATTTTATGAATTATTGTAATGAAAATGATTTTAGAAGCTTTTTTTTTTCTTTGAAAGTATTTGAACAGTTATATTTGAAGTATTTTAATTACAATCAATGTAAATTAAATTTTTAATGTTTTCAGAAGGCCAAAATGTCTGATTCTCAAGAACCTCTTGAAAATTATTTTGATCAGTTTAATTACTCTAAAACCAAAACCAATAAGGTTAGTAATTTTGTTTTAGTGTTTACTGTATATTATAAATCATGAACTATAAAATGCAGATAGAGAGAAAACTTGAATATTGACACACATTCATTATTAAGAGACATACAGGCACTCCCCTACTTACGAACAGGTTTTCTCGTAAGTCAAAAACTAATCTAGAATGTATATTTGTACCATGTATTGTTAGTGTTTGATCATTCAGTTTACTTAGAAAACATTATGCTCATTTACCCACTTGCTACTGTTTGGTAGCAACTGTTTCACACACGGTGTTTTTACAGTAATAGTGCCACACTTCTTGCATTTATTCCATTGCTATATTTACTATTAGGGTTTGAAGCACTAATTGTAAAAGTTGTAAAAATTGTTTGCAAGTAGGGAAGATCCTGTATTTTAAAATTTCCTGATTTAATTCAGTAATTAATAATGTAATTATTTATAAATTTAAAAATGGATATTATATTTAATTGTTTTGATTAGTTTTAATTTTTATTTATAATCAATCTAATCTGTAATTTTATTCAGAAGTTACAATATATTTATATTATGTGATAATTTGCTTCTACTGACATTAAGTATCTTTTCAGACAACCAATATGACTGCATCTCAAAAGAAACTCTTGAAGGTGGATAAAAGAGGAATGAAAAATATCTCAAACTTTTTTGGAAAAAAATCGTGAAATCCCAGCTATTTACAAAAAATTTCTTCAAACTGTCATTTGATTTCTGCTCAAGAGGACTCATCTTCACTACTTTCTTAGGATCTTGTTCATCTGTGGGATGATCTCGACTTCTTAACAAAAGAAGTAGAGATTGCCCCACAGATGAATGAGATCCCAAGAAAGTAACGAAGATGAGATTCCTCTTGAGCAGAAATTAATTATGAAATTATTTGAAAATCAGAAGTGACACGATTTTCTATGTTAAATATTTGTAAATACGTTGATTTATTTTTTTTAAAAAAATATAATTTTTAATCCTAGAAAGGTTGTTAAAATAAAATGATTTTGAACACACACTGTTATTGAAAAAATATATGAAACTATCCTATAACAGATGTTGAATTGCTTTTATTAATTTTATTTTAAGATCATTTAATATGAAATGAAATAAATTTAAAAATTTGTAACATTTTTTTTCCATTTTAAAAGAGAAAAGAGTCATTATCTTGTGAAAGAGAAAAGTACAGTGGTACTTCAGAACTTAAGTTCAGTTTATTCCTAGAGGATGTTTGAGTTCTAAAGCAGTTTTTCTTCATAAGGAATAATGTAAAGTGAATTCATCCATTCCCAAACCCCAAAAGTGCCTATTTTAATTCTAAAAAAATAATGCAAGTATAAATGCTCTAATTAATGTATAAAACAATGACAAAAAAAGTAAATAACACAGTAAAATTAAGGATGTGATCTGAATGTGGCTGGACTCGTTCAATGCATGTCCCAAATTGTATCAACGGATTTATAAAAGTAACATTACATTATGCATACCTGTACGGATGATATACAAAATACAGTATGGCCATCTTTGTGTTTGAGCAACACAAAGATAAAAAAAATTCATGGTCAATTTCTATATGCTGGTTTCTTTTAATGAATTTTTATAGTAATTGATAATATAATATAATATGGACATCTCTGCTTAACATCAATAATCCCATACTGAAAATTAGATGTTCTGCATGAAAATGCTAACAAAGAGTTATTTCCCATTATTTTAAATGAAAAAATTGAATACATTACATTATCAACTGAAAATCTCCAATTAATTTTCTAAAATGTAATGAAAATACAGTAATATGCCGATGTATGAGTAACAAACAAGAGTGTCTGCGGAAAATTTTCCAGGAGGCAAAGCTTGGAGACAAATAATTACATCAATACATTTCTATTTAATTTTTGGAGTTTTTTCCACAAGTAGATTATAGAACACTGTATTGCACCAGTGTCCCACGATTGAGGGTATAAAGTTACATATCTCACTTTTACAATTATTATTTGAGGAATATTTTACTTGATCCAGAGGAGGGCTCATGTTAACTATTATGTTAGAGCGTAAAATGCTTGAAGTATTACTTCCCGATCACCAAAAAATTAATATAACCCGGTTGTTAACAAATAATTACTTTGTTTACAATGTGTTTAATCTGTATGTGGTACTTTAAACATTCCATTTGTTGACATGTTATGCTGTTTAAAATAGGTTTACATATGAACCACTATGAACTTTTAACAAACTGGCCAAACAGTCACCGTAATGGGGCAAATCAGCAGTTCATAGTGATTCATATGCCAATCTGAACATAGTTTAAAATGTCTATTGGCAGTCAGAAACAAGTTAGCTGACATGTGATGGCCATCTCCATAACCTTGACAAGCAGGATAAAATCATGCTACTTTCATTTCTAAACTACATGTAAAAACAAAATTGAAATCTCATTAATACATTCATTTTTTTGGTAAGCTAGAATTTATAGGAGTAAAAATTTCATAACTTGGAAGCATTTTGCTACAAAGGCTATTGTATTGCTTATATCTGCTTTTAGGTTTGTCCTAAACATAAATACCTTGTAAATAAGAACTAATGCCTGTAGACTACACAGAGGAGCACAAGCTATACAAAAGGGCATTGTAGATTATGCAAGAAGATTCAAACTATGATTCAACATCGGATCAGTGCACCCGCAAGATGGCAATGGTTGCAAATCGGGGCTAGCTAACTTGGCCTATAAAAAAGGAATGTTCCTTGTTTCTAAGGCCATGTTTTGGTCAGCCTATGAGGAAGTTGCAAGAGAAGATAGACTATTGTTCATTAGTTTTTTTTATATTGCAGAATAGGCTAGAAGTCATGAATTTTTTGTTGATAATGGGATTTGGGGCTTCCTCGAGGATGTAGAAAAGGGCAACACATGAAGAGAACACCTGCTCAAAGTGCTCCAATGTATGGATGCTCCTTTCAAGAACTTAACACACCTGAACACATGCCACCCCACCTACGGAACATGTTTGTAAAGCTAGATGTTCTACCTGTAGGTTTTTTCAACTGCAAATATCCCTCTATGAAGTTTTAGTGTGTGTATTTTAAAAAATCCTCTGCTTGGGCACCTCCCACGCATCCTTGTTGATGGATGACCAATTCATGTCTCGTGTCAATTAAATTCTCTGTGACTGGATATATATGGAATGTATATGTAGCTATAATTAGTAAGCCTCGACAGGTGGATAACCAAGTGGTTAAGGTGGAAGTCTACCTCTCTGGGGAACCCGGAATCGAATCCAGACAGGTCGAAAAATCCCAGGAATTTTTCGAGAGGTAGTTCGTCCAGATATGTCGTGCGAAGTCCCTCACCGCCTGGCAGCCCCGTTGTAGGCCTTCAAATCAATAAGTTTTTTTTTTAATTTTCCGCCCTGTAGGCACTAAGGCGGCCTCTTTTAGCAAATCCATTATGTGTTCGGCTAGGCCCACAATGGGTATGCCGGGCAGTGAGGGAGGGAACCCAACAAATTCGGACGGACCACCATCTGAAAAACTCTTGAAGCTCTTTTGGATTCGATTCCGGATCCCGCAGAGCAGTAGGCTGCTACCTTTGACCGCCCGGCCATCCGGCGATCTCCCATAATGATCTTGCTCAAAGGGCCCTCCTGTTGCCTACAGGGAGGGGAATTAAAAAAATTAGTAGGTTTTTTGTTTATATCTTTTGAACCGTAATAATAAGTGCCAGAGCGGTAGGCGGCAGCCTACCGCTCTGGCACTTATTCACCAGAAATTCGAAATCGAACCCGAATTCGGGCGGGCAACCCCAAAAATTTTAACGTTCCCGTGTCCGTGCCATTCAGCCTTTTTCATTGTGGGCTTGGCCGGACCCGCGATGGGTACGATTAAAAAATTAAAATTTATAATTTATGATTAATTACTTGATAACAAACTCTATTTTTTGAGAAGTGCGAACGTTATTCGGATGACAAACGAATTGTATTTTAAATAAATTGTGACATACTATTAATTAAAATTAAACAACGGTAAAAAAATCTTTAAATATAACTATTAAAAAATATATTTATAAAGAGAAAAAAAAATCACCATTTTATAAAATTATCTGAAATTTCTGAAGTAATTATCGACCGCTAGGTGGTTTGAAATTTGCCGATTTAGTATAAATACAGTGTCTGTTCGTCACTATATCGTTTGAGAGCGACGAAGTTAACTCGTCGCCATTTTGTCTTCTGTTGTTATATTCCGGTCGACACGAGTCAATAACAATGTCGACGATTATAACATCAGATTCGAAGGCACCTCTGAGGGAAGTGAAGAAAATCCAATTCGGTATTCTCAGCCCGGACGAAATTGTAAGGCTCGTATATTAATTAATAAGTCCGATTTAGCAATAGGTCTAACGATAATTTCCATTGAATAATTCTCGCCATTTTGTTATTAAATACAATATTAAAACGTTTTCTCGAGTACGGAATGAAAGACCGAGCTTATATTTTAACCGATTCCTTTCATACTTTTCGATTGCATCAAATGGATTGCAAATTGCGCAAAATAGGCCATTTTATATTACATGTTAACCTTTGATCGGCCATGTTTTTGGTTTGTTGTATATATGGATTACTTGTATTGTGAAGCATTAAGTATTGGACTTAAACTAATTAACTTCTGTATAACCTTGTTTTTTAGTTGGGTTCGTGTATTCTGTATTTACCATAGTTTTCTTTTGCTGAAGTGCTTGTTGTGTGAAAGTGTGTGGCCAAATTGTTTGTTCCTCGAATGCTGGGAGTTCGGTCGTGGGCTTGCTCCTTGCCAGGATGGACTGCCACGTGGAGTTTTCTGGGTTTTTTCCGTGTCTGTAATGCCCGAATAGGAGCCGGCTACCCTTAAAAAGACCTCCCAGAGGGCATCCCCTAGGCAGATCGCCCAATTGTTGTGTTGACGTAACTTAAACAAACAAATGGTGAAAGTGTTCGTACGTGCTTGTGATCGTTTGCAGAGCGTCGGTTTGTTTTGGGAATCAAACGTTTGTCCAAGGTACATTTTCTTTGTTCGGCACAATATGCCGAGAAAGTGGCGAATGCCAAATATTTGAGTGAAGTCGCTGGTAAATCGTCCATGCTATTTGGTATTGGCCAAAACTTTGGTGGGTGCCTGATGTGTGGAGCCACCTTATACTCTGTTCGCACACAATCCATGACTCACTTCAATCTCGATTGTAACTGTCGCCAGTCGAACATTGAGCTGTTTGCACAGGCAGTCTGCTTGAGAAGAACCTAGATTTTTTTACACTCTTGAAACTGTGTCAGTAATTATGTTGTCTTTTTAACACTATATGGTGTAAATACACAAATACTTGGCAATCTTCACCTTAAGTTTATTCAGTTTTTAGTTGATCCAAAAAAAAGAACCTGGCTATTACATGTGATGATAAAACTGACATAATTACATGATAAGTCACGAACATCAACAAACTAAATGGACGTTTTGGTTAGAAATAAATACTTTTTCTTGTCATATATCTAATAATAGACAGATATCGTTGTCTCTCCGGGTGTCTTTTTTATTTCTCTGTTGATAGCTTGACATGTGTTCCGCAGCCATTTTGTATTTTCTCGCGCATGTGGAATTGTGGGATCTCTCTTATGACTGGATCTAGTTTCAAGAACTCTCGAGTCGATTGCGATTGAACCTCGTTTCAGTTGAGATTGAAACAGTCGAGAGAGGTTGCACCATGGCATAGTTGCTGACCTTGGTCACATTCTAGATCGAAATGCTCGGTGTGAATGGCATATGGTTCTATCGAGAATATCTGTTTTTCAATTGTTATAATACATTTGATTGATTACATTTGCAATGGTTGAAATTGATATATGTAAACGAGCATCACAACTGAAATTTTAATCGTAAGCCAAACAATTGCCGTATTAAATTTAGCTACTTTACCGCTACAATTAGTAATTAGGTTCTACTTTATCTGTAGATATTATCAAAATCAATTTTGATT